ATATTAACCGACATACTTATTTACTGTTTGTTGTCACATGAAATATCCGATTTGGTAATAAAATTTATTGTTTGTGTTAAATTTTACTTCGAATTTATTTTATAATAAAATAAAATATTTCATTTTAGTGTAGGAAAGTTGGAGAAGGAATGTACGACTTACCATGGTATTCATTAAGCATTGAATTAAGAAAAGATATTTTGTTTATTATATTAAAATCTCAAAAACCACCACGGATAAGTGCTGGAAAAATCATTGAATTAAACATGGAAACGTTTAGCGAGGTATTCACAAATATTATTATTATTATTATTACAATAATTATCGATTAATTGGAATTAAATTTCAGGCAACAAAAAATATGTACAGATGGTTGGCAGTTTTTCGACAACTTGGATTCACTTAGAAAAATTTTCTCTTATATCATTCGCATTCACAATTAACAAATCGAATAAAATCTTTGATTAAGTATTTTTATTTAATTAATATGTAGCTTATTGATTAAACGATTATTTAATAATAAAATTGACTTAACGTAATATAATATTAAAAATATTATTAATTGAAAATATGCATAAAAAATAGAGAGTTAATTAATAATATATATTATATCTATTATAATACATCTAATATAATATAATATAATAATTATGATACTAGATATATATATTATATTTTAGTATGTAAATAAATTTTGTTTTTAAATATCGTTATTTATTAAATCACATGATTTTAGTTATATATTCGTTTTCAAGACCGTGGGGAAAGAAAAACAATATTTTTCCAAAGAAAAAAAAAAAAAAAACAATTGCTCTCATATGATTTAAAAATTTTACTATAATATGAATTTTTTTTGAAAGCCATTCAAGACATGAATGAATACTGTCAAGAAAATGACGAATACGATTGCGATGAAAATAATAAAAAAATAACTAAAAGATAAAATTGAAACGAACGAAGAGTTAAAAAATAAAGAAACAAAAAAAATGTTGCGTAAAAGTCTTGTCAGACAAAGTGAATAATTGGGGTAAATAATATAAATAAAGAAATTTTGACGATTGCATGATTATCGATGATTTTACGTTCAAATGATTTTTTTATTAATTTATTTAAGGTACGCACAACATTTCGAAGAAATCTACGTCGGTTTATTATTTTTTCAATTATTTATCTCGTGGTTTCCTCTTCGTCGTCATTAACGTCCTTCAAACAATGATTGTAAGTAAAATTTATTCGTTTTTTGTTTGTTGTCTTATGAAATATCCGAATTGGTAATAAAATTTATTGTTTCTGTTAAATTTTACTTTGAATTTTTTTATTTTAGTGCAGAAAAGTTGGAGAAGGAATGTATGACTT